AGCACTGGTCTGCAAAAGCACGTATCTGCTCCGCAAGCGCTGCAGCCGCGTACCTCTGTCTCTGTGGCAAAGCGGGTTGATTTTTAGCATCTGATAATGCAATGAACTAAAGTAAATATTCTAAGCACACCGATGTGATTGTACGCTTCAGGGAACAGCCGGTGCTGATCACATAAGTGTAATCGTTCAAGTCAAAAAGTTAAATGTTTTTTTTTTTTCTTTTATTACTAAGTGTTTCTCTGCATACCACTAGAAGGAGGCCCACGTACCACTAGTGGTACATGTACCACAGTTTGAGAACCACTGTATTAGAGGAACACTTTGTTTGGGCGATATAGCAGCACCCCTCCGCTCTTATCAAGGCAGCACCACCGGCATTTCAGCTGCCCAATCGCCCCTGCTCTTGGTCAGTTTGTGAGTTGTCGAGGGGGGTTACAGCCATGTCTTTAACTTATAACCACGGAACTGGGTTGCAACTGGAGGGGCATCCGCTGTGTAGAACATATGCTGGATTAATTGGCGGTTCATTCCGCTGTGGTGACCCTAGATGAATAAAGCGACTGAGCCGGAGAAAAATGAATGAACAAATAAATGTTATGATTTAGCAGAGAAGGCTTTCATATATATCTTTATCAGGTCAATGACTGAATGATTTAACAATAAATATGCATCATCCAGACTGCATTACATTTACATTGACATTACATTAAATCGATAGGTAAGGAAATGGTTAAAAAAATTAAGCAAAACCAAACAATCTGGTAAAGACAGTTTGTTTCACATGGAAAATATTTGTTTAGTTTGGTGAATCACTGTGATCCACCCACGAGAAGAAGATTAAGGGTTTATTCAGAAAACTGAATCAGCGTTGCTGGTGTTAGGGTGGAAACCAAATTCCCACGAGCCCACACTGCGATTTATAATTTAATATTACTTTTTTATTGATTATAACTTTGCACAGCTTTCAACAATATGTTATTCGAGCATTGATATTGCAATGTGTGTGTGTCTGCAATAGTCACATCACAGGATTAGATTATTTAATAAGGATTAAAATATATTATTAAATATGAATATTTTTAGAGTCATTTATAAAGTGATGACCATTTTCTGTACTTGAATGCTGTTAGACATTCTGGAAATTAATTAATTAATACATTTTTGCTTGTTATTTATTATAACTTATGCAGATCGACTTTAAAGAAAATCAGAATCAGAAAGAGCTTTATTGCCAGGTTTGCACATACGAGGAATTTGTTTTTGTGACAGAGCTTCTAGAGTGCAACAGAATTACAGAGACAGGACAATAAACAGATAATAAATATATAAAAAAGCAGTATGTAGTGAATGCAAATATACAAATAGACAAGTGTATGTAGAGCTATATTACTATAAACAACGTTATATGTGCAGCTGTTATGTGCAAATTGGCATGTAAAGTGTGATGTTAAATACGTGTATGTGTGTATAAAAGTGTGTGGCAAGTACTGTGTAGATCACACACTACTTGTAAAAACAGACTAGATCACCCCAGTCGCTCTAAATTAATGAAATATTTTCAAATAGAGCTGTTCAGATCATCTGGGGAATTTATATTTATATCGCAGTATATTGTGGCAATTTTTCTTATATCATGCAGCCATAGTTTTTCACTGTAAAAAAATTCAAGAATTGGCTCTACGAAGACTTCTTTTTTTCATTCATTCATTTTCTTTTCAGCTTAGTCCCTTTATTAATCCGGGGTCGCCACAGCGGAATGAACCGCCAACTTATCCAGCATATGTTTTACGCAGCGGATGCCCTTTCAGCTGCAACCTAGCACTGGGAAACACCTATACACTCTCATTCACACTCATACATTACGGACATTTTAGCTTACCCAATTCACCTATGCTACATGTCTTTGGACTTTGGAAAACCGGAGCACCCGGAGGAAACCCACACCAACACGGGGAGAACATGCAAACTCCACACAGAAATGTCAACTGACCCAGCCGGGGGTCGAACCAGCGACTATCTTGCTGTGAGGCAACAGCGCTATACTGCGCCACAGCGCTGCCTGACTTATTTTTTCTTCTTTTAAAATAATTTACTGTCTAACACTTGAATGTTATAAAAGCATGGCGTTGTATTAACTACTGATAATACTAATTAATTTGTACTATAGGACAGTGGTTCCCAACCTTTTTATTTGGGCCCCCCCATGAACATATACAAACATTGGAGCCCCCCACCATATAAATACACACGCACACACATATGTACTGTATATATATATAGTGTATGTGTGAGTTTGTGTAATATTAATATATAATATGTATAGAAAATATAAATTAATTAGTTTTAACTTGCCTTCAAGACAAAACTTGTCTTGGCCTTCATAAAACCAAAATTTAGGTAGGCTTTGTCATACTGTCTAATCTTTTTCTTCGTCTCTGAAGAATCACTGCATTTACGTTTCTCTGCCATATTTGTTTTGATTTTGCCTTTACGACACGTTGGACAAGCACATTTTTGAGCAAAATTTAAATAATTATTTAAAGTTATCAATTTTAATTATTTTTACTATTATGTTGGAATTTTAAGCATGTGTTTTGATTATTTTTTTTTTTGGTATTTAAAAATACATATATAATAGTAGGGCTTCTCGATTTTGGGAAAAATCATAATCACGATTATTTTGGTCATAATTGTAATCACAATTATTCAAAACGATTATTAGTTAAAGTCAAAATTATAAGCGCTCCTGAGAATTTTTAAAATATAAATATTTCCCAAATTATGTTTAACAGAACAAGGAATTTTAACAGTATTTCCTATAATATTTTTCTTCTAGGCTTATTTGTTTTATTTTAGCTAGAATAAAAGCAGGTTTAAATATTTTGAAACCTATTTTAAGGTCAATATTATTAGCCCCTTTAAGCAATATATATTTTTGATTGTCTGCAGAAGAAAATACTGTTATACAATGACTTGTCTATTTACCCTAATTAAGCCTTTGCTTGTATTTTGAAAAATATCTAGAAAAATATTATGTGCTGTCATCATAGCAAAGATAAAAGAAATGAGTAATTAGAAATGAGATATCAAAACTATTATGTTCAGAAATAAGTTTTTTTTTAAATAAAACTTCTTTCCATGAAACAGAAATTGGGCAGGAAAAGGGTTGCTAATATTCAGGAGGGCTAATAATTCTGACTTCAAGTGTATTCATACAGTTATTTTCCACCCTGCAAAGAAATGAGAAATAAATACAATAGAATAAAAATATTAAACAAACTTTGCTTTAAGCATCTTCACTGTAAGAAAAACACTTTAGCTAAAGCAGTCCTTCAGTCAAGACTAGTGAGGGATTTTCTCGTTGTTTGATTAATAATCATAAAAACAGGCGGCAGCAGGAATATTTCTCGCTGTCTCTTTAATGGTTTCTCTTTCACGTCTTTTGATCCTTAACTCGTTTGTTTATTACACAAATCAGGGTTAATATAAATAATCACTAAACACAGCGTTTTGACATCTATTTGACCATTAAAGCGCTAACGTTAAGATGACTAGATGTCTGCGCTCCTCTGCTCGTCTCAGTGTGCGAATGAGAGCGAATGCTGACCGGCCGCATGCTTCTGACTGCTTGTGCGTGCTGCACACACACATAAGCACTCGGTCGTGTACAACTGGAAAGGGGGCGGTATATGATGCATATAATTGTTTATCTTGATTAATGCTTTTTTTATAATCGCTTGAAATCGAAATTGGATTTTCGATTAATTGTACAGCCCTATATAATAGTGGAGTATTTTTATGCCTTTTTCTACCTCAATACTTATCATCTCCCGCGCCCCCCTTATGAACTCTGGTGCCCCCCTTGGGGGACGGACCCCAGGTTGGGAACCACTGCTATAGGAAACTGTGGTTGATAACTGGATTGGATTGTGGGAAAAAAAACTGAATTTTAAGAATTGGTTGTTCAAAATTTTTTTATGGAAATAAATATATAAATAAAGAATGAACATTTGATTAGAGAGCAGTGGATTTTCAATAATGACAAACAATTTAACAATTATTTTTAAAAAAAATTCCAAAAGATGTTTAACTAAATTTGTTTCAACACATTTTCTACATATTTTTAAAACTAATGTCTAATAACTAATTTCTTTTGGCTTTCCCAGAGATACAGTAGTTTGCAGCTGGAAGGGCATCCGCTGCATAAAAAACTAGCTGGATAAGTTGGCGGTTCATTCCGCTGTGGCGACCCCGGATTAATAAAGGGACTAAGCCGACAAGAAAATGAATGAATGAATGAATGAATAATTTCTTTTGGGTTTGCCATGATGACAGTACATAATAACAAATGCTGGATTCCACACAATTTCTTCATGTTCTCACTACACAAATTGATTAACTTAATTGTTTTTACAAATTTAAGTAGATCGAACGAAAAACAATTAAGTTGTCCCCCAAAAATGTCCAAGAATTGTGTTGATTGAGCTCAATTAGGATAAATAGTTTGAACAAGCAGCAAAAATGTATACTAGTTATATTGGAAGATACTAGTATCAGCTTAAAGTGCAATTTAAAGGCTTACCTAAGTTAATTAAGTAAAGGTTTATTTATATAGCACATTTCACAGACATTAAGTCACAAAGTGCCTTACAATAAGAGAAAACAGGTAAGAGAAAACATCAATAAACGTAAACATTTTAAAAACAAGTTAACTAGGCAGGTTAGGGTATTTAGGAAAGTCATTGAGCAACAGACGTTTGCTCTGTAGCCAATTAAAAAAAATATATAATTTCATAACAAGGCTAGTAATATTGACCATAGCCTTTTTTTACAGTTCGTTTTCAGCCAAACTAAAATAAAAGAGACTTTATCCAAAAGAAAAATACAGTAGGAAAAACTATGAAAATGTCTTTGCTCTGTTAAACATCACTCTGCAAATATTTAACAATAATTTGCATCTAATAATCGTTAACTGTACCTGCTCACTTGTCTTGTTTTAGGGATTGCGGTGACGTACGAGCAGCTGAAACACATGATGTCCACTGGAAGAGTTCAGCTCATCGATGTTCGTGAACCGGACGAGCTGACGGCTGGATTTATTCCTGGAGCCACAAACATTCCTCGTAAGAAACCAAAACACAGATTCAGCAATTTTGTCCGTGACAATCCCCCCACCGCCCTGGTCCTCGCTGTCGCATGCACAATCACACCCCCGTCTCTTGTTTTCGCTTTCGGTATTAGGGTGGCACGATCATCTTTTGCCTAGGGCTTCAGTTCAGTTTGCTTTGGCCCTGTCATGCCTAAAACAAAGAATTAAACTATTAAAGTGACGATCGGGTCTGGATACATTTATCAGATAAAAAATATAGATTACACGATATATAATACGATATTATATATCGTGTGCAGTGGAAAGGCAGCTTAAGTGGACAAAATTGTCCAATCAAATGGAAGCAGAGGTGGGGTTTCCGTTGAGGTGGGGGGGGTTGGTTTGTCGTGCACGTACTATAGAGCGGTGTTGTCGCACGTGTTCTGATCAGCTGTGTTGTTGCGCGCGTACTCAAGAGCGGTGTTGTCGCGTGCCTACTGAAGGGCGGGACCGAGGGTGTGTCGTGTCGCGGGGGCACTTTTGATAATTTTGGAAGGGCACTTTCTATCCAAGACTAAAAAGGGCATGTGCACTGCACAGGTTGAGCCCTAAGTGTGCACGTGCCTGGTCAAGACGACTATTGAGACTTTTTAAGATGTGGTCGCTGTTTCGAGTTATCTGGAGCTGTATGATTTCACCACCCCAGCTCCACACTTTTAGTCTGATTCATACCCAGCTAGGGGAAGCGGGCTAGCTAGATGTAGTTCTGACTCTTCACTTTTTTGCCCCTAGCTCGGTTGTCTTACAGCACACTGATTATGCTTATCTTTATTCTGTTATCTATATTCGTAAGCGAACTTATGAAATATACATTCTTTTTTACAGCGATTGGTTGCAGCCCAGCAGATTTTGCTTTACATTTGCATAAAGTCAAGAAATGTCTAAGCTTTCTGATGCTCTCAGCACTTTCTCCATGCTGTTTTCAATTCCACAATGCATTGTGTTGCCGTTATGCTTAACTTCCATATTAATAAACTACACGCGCCAGTGGAAATGTGCCGTTAGATTGCTATGAGGGAATGACACCCAAAAGGAAAGCCCCCGATATTCAGTTTCAGTTGGAAGTTCATCAACACACTGAAATAAAAGTATCAGCAACTTCTGGTTCACACGGATTTTACCACCCAAATAAAGAGACTTTTTATTGTTTACTGTTTTGCAGGTTTAATTCTGCACTATTGCCTTGTTTGGACTGGTTAATACTCAGATGTCTTGTCTATATTTTAGTTAGATGTTTTTCCACTGTAAGGATTGCCTGAATCTGACTATATTCGCACAGTGGGAATGAAGAATCTGTTTGCTTATGGTTTTATAGTGGGAGAATTGGAGGAGGCCCTGACACTGGACCCAGATCAGTTCAGACAGCGTTACGGCGTCTCAAAGCCTCATCCAGACGACTCAGACATTGTGCTTTACTGTCAGAGAGGCGTCCGCAGCCTCAACGCACTGGAGATTGCAATAAGACTGGAATACTCAAGGTATGGACAAAATTGGAACTATCATTCATTCATTCATTCATTTTCCGTCAGGTTAGTCTCTTATTCACCATGGGTTACCACAGTGGAATCAACCGCCAACTATTCCAGCATATGTTTTATGCAGCGGATGCCCTTCTAGCTGCAACCCAGTATTGGGAAACACCCATATACACTCTCACATTCACACACCTACACTACAGCCAGTTTAGTTTATTCAATTCACTCTTTAGCCCATGTGTTTGGACTGTGGGGGAAACCGGAGCACCCAGAGAAAACCCACGCCAACACGAGGAGAACATGCAAACTCCACAAAGAAATGCCAACTGACCCAGCCGGGACTCGAACCAGCGACCTTCTTGCTGTAAGGCGACAGTGCTAACCACTGAGCTATTGTGTCGCCGGCCAAGGTTTTCATGATAGTTATAAATTGAGATTTATTCATGAAGTCAAGTGCAACAACTTTAACAGCACATTGTTTATCCTGTTGATCATAGAGGACTTAGACGTGCATATTATAGTCTGCATGATATAAAAATTTGCAATGTTTGTTGTCAGTCCTATTCAAATAAATTAGCCTTATTCTAATTAATCTGTACCAGTTAACCCAGTGAAAAAAAAGCTGTTTTGGTAATCTTTAATTAAGTCATTCTCTGATGACATCAGATTAACCAATTGGCTTAAATGTTTAGCCCCACCCCTCCAGCCGTTAGTTAGCTTAAAGTGAAAGATGAGAGGAGGAGCTTAAAAATAAACCCCACCTCCTAATCATTATTCAGTTTCAGTTGGAAATAAATCATCATAATGAATTAAATGTCTGCTGCAAATTCTGATTTACGTGTATTTTAAATGTGATACATTGCATTGAGTTTCCTCAGTTTTTTTTTGTGTGGTAATGCCATCAGTTAACTGTTTAACCAGGGCAATGATGTGTGTGTGTGTCTCTCTCTCTCTCAGGGCCCGTCATTACGTTGGAGGATACAGCGAGTGGGCTGAACGTGAGCGTCTGTAAGCAGAAAGGCTCAAAGTTTGACTAAATGACGATTATTTCTGCTCAGTGCAGAACCATAAGCAGACCATGACTGAAATTCATGAAGCTCCTGACTGTTTAAAAGACAACACAGACCAACAATGTATTATTCAGAATACCTCATTTTTGTTTTTATATTTTTAAGTGAAAAAATAAATCAATAAAATTGCTCTGTTTATAATAGTTTGGCAATCTTTCCTGTCATAATTTGATTTTGTAAGCACAAACTCTTTAGCAATAGACTATTTGCAACATTTCCTATATAAGAGTACATAATAGTGGGCCCCGAAATACTTAAAATACTTATAATTTGCCACTTAATTAGCCTTGTATGAAATATACTGCAGATTATATGGAAGCATATGAGTAGCAAGATTCATTTTGAAATGTAATATACAAAATGGCTTAGCAAAATATAAAATGGTAATGCATTTATTAATTAAATTAGAACTTTCCATGACATGCAGATTTTGGTTCAAAATTAAAATACATAATTTACATTTGGCATTTCCAACCACTCTTATCATGTAAATTGCACACTTATTATAATGCATTACCAACATTTAATTTCATGTTCAAGTAGAATTGCTAGCAAAATAATCATTTAAACATATTCATTCATTCATTGTCTTGTCGGCTTAGTCCCTTTATTAATCTGGGGTTGCCACAGTGGAATGAACTGCCAACTTATCCAGCACGTTTTTACACAGCGGATGCCCTTCCAGCCACAACCCATCTCAGGGAAACATCCAGAGATGACATTGTTGTCGTGCGCATACTGAAGAGCGGTGTTGTCGCATAGCGGGTGCTGTTTTGATCATTTTGGAAGGGCACTTTCTATCCAAGACTAAAAAGGGCATGTGCACTACACAGCACCCGGAGGAACCGGAGCACCCGGAGGAAACCCACGCGAACGCAGGGAGAACATGCAAACTCCACACAGAAATGCAGAGGATCGAACCAGCAACCTTCTTGCTGTTAGGCAACAGCACTACCTACTGCGCCACTGCTTCGCCTCCATTTAAACATATATATATATATATTTTTTTTTTTTATATTATTTGCCCTTATAATATGCTGAAGGACTTTTAATTTTTCAGTAACCTAGGTCAAGGGCTTCTGGTGAACTGTATGGCGTTAGAAAATCAGCATGTTTAAGGTCTGTTTTCTTAAAAAATCTGTGATCTTCACTGCCTGATTGATATCCAATATAAAGTGGGTCTGTGAATGTACAAGAATCACTGCATTAAATATTAATGTTCTGCTCCATGTCTTAAAATATGAACATTTATTTTACTCCAGTATTTTCAATGGAGTTTCAGCACTAGCCTGCTGATCCTGACAGGCGGCTTTTCATCTCATTTTGAATGAATGAATGAATTTATTTAACAGGGACAATGCTCAAAAATTACATTAACCTCAAAGAGGAAAGATGCATTTATATTTACATTTAGTCATTTAGCAGACGCTTTTATCCAAAGCGACTTACAAATGAGGACAAGGAAGCAATTTACACAACTATAAGAGCAACAATGAAGAAGTGCTGTAGGCAAGTTTCAGGTCTGTAAAGTCTAAGAAGGAAAGTATTAGTAGTATTAGTTGTTTTTTTTTTTTTTGGTACAGTTAGTGTGATATTCAGAGAGGCAATTGCAGATTAGGAAGTGAAGTGGAGACTAAATAGTTGAGTTTTTAGTCGTTTCTTGAAAGTAGCGAGTGACTCTGCCGTTCTGATGCAGTTAGGGAGTTCATTCCACCAACTGGGCAGATTGAGCGTGAGCGTTCGCGAAAGTGATTTCTTCCCTCTTTGGGATGGAACCACGAGGCGACGTTCATTCACAGAACGCAAGTTTCTGGAGGGCACATAGATCTGCAGAAGTGAGAGCAGATAAGAAGGAGCAAGGCCAGAAGTCACTTTGTAGGCAAACATCAGGGCTTTGAATTTGATGCGAGCAGCAACTGGCAGCCAGTGCAAAGGGACTAGCAGCGGATTGACATGTGCTCTTTTCGGTTCATTAAAGACCACTCGTGCTGCTGCATTCTGGAGCAGTTGAAGAGGCTTGATAGAGTTAGCTGGAAGCCCAGCTAGTAGAGAGTTGCAGTAATCTAGATGCATTGTGCCAGGTTGTAGCAGGATTACTATTTTACACCTGCAGTGCCTGAACAGGTAAAAATTAAAACAATAAAATCCAATTAATTAAAAAGTCAGCTTAAAACATTCAGGCATAATCGCAAAAAAACTAGAACACTGACAACTCAAAAACATCTCACTCAGTGTGTACAAATTTGATTTGACAAAAACCACCTCCTAGTCAGGCGTGAAAACATTTTATAATATGTACATGTGTTTAGTTCTGTTGGGAGAGAATTCCATAGATTTGAGGCTTTATAAATAAAAGAGGATTGACCAAAAGAGGTTATGTCTAGGGACAATACATTCTCCTCTTACCATAGAACGCGTCACTCGTTATTATGCTTGAGCAACTAAATGAATGCTGAAGTCTGTTTAACTGATCATATCTTAATTACATTACTACATCAAAGCTGTAAAAGGAACAGTTTAAAATTTAATAAAGTCACATTAACCGCTCACCGGAGGTTTATTGGTATGGAAAAAATACTAGCTGTGCATATATTCTATTGCATTTAGTCTCAGGGTTAGGGAAAGTTTAATCATCACAGCATGGGATATTTATAGCAAAATTCAGTATGTGTTTTAAAATGCATTCTGAGCCAAAAGTATAGCAAAATAGTGAGTTAATTGTCTTTAATGCATTGACACTCATACTTAAAGGTCCCGTGAAGTTCTTTGAAATGTGCATTTTTATTCGATCTTTGACATTAATGTAGGTGCATTCGACATGAAGCACGTCTGCAGCCGGTGATCAACGAGATTAGATTAACTAGGTTAATTAGGCAGGTTAGGGTAATTAGGCAAGTTATTGTAGAATTATTGTTTGTTTTGTATCGGGAAAAAAGCTTAAAGGGGCTATTAATTTTGTCACTAAAATGGTGCTTAAAAAATTAAAAACTGCTTTTATTCTAGCCGAAATAAAAAAAATAAAACTTTCTCCAGAAGAACAAATATTATCAGACATACTGTAAAAATTTCCTTGCTCTGTTAAACATCATTTGGGAAATATTCAGAAAAGGAAAAAAAATTAAAGGGGGGCTAATAATTCTGACTTCAAAAGTATACATACTAAAAACGAACAATGCTGATTCTAACATCTAAAAATATTTATTTTATTTTTATGGGACTTTTACGATGTTTGAGAAATCCATTTTTTAGGATTAAGAATGGTGCTACACCTTTGGCTCTCATGGCATTTTGAATTTTGCTACAAACAAATATACTAAACTTGCACACGTCATTAAAAATGCTCATTTAAATAAATACAAACATTGTCATTTAACATATTGCATTTCAAAATGAATGTTGCTACTCATATGCTTCAATTGGATTAAGCCAGAAGATGGTGCTATAGTAAAGGAGTCCAAAAGATTAAACACACTTACGTTAAACATACTCTTCCTCATCTGCAAGGGATTTCTCCTCTCTTTTCAGATCATTTTCTTTGATGCTGCCAAAAATCACATGAGCCTTTAATTATATATATGTATATGTATATATATATATATATATATATATATATATATATATATATATATATATATATATATAT